ACCCTTCAAAGGGAAAAGATTCTCAATATCTTCCTTTCATAGCTCTGGTCATTGAAACTCAGAAAGGTAAAGCGACATATTTAGGTAAGACTATCAGAAAACGTCACTGAGAGAACTGAGACCCAGGGTGAATCAACACCAAGACCCAGGCTTGCTCTCATCTATTTGTGGCCTCAAATTCTGTTCTGTTCCTCACTTAGCCATTTCTGTGTCTACATCTGCATCACCCAACCCTCTGTTATGGATCCTGAGGCAAAAACCAGAGCAGCACGAAGAAGGCACTGTGGAGACAGAAAGCAGCTTCTACACCAAAAGCAGGAAGCACATGCTCCTCTGTGCCACAGCGTTTCCTTATTCCATCAAAGGTTTGAGACAGTCCCTGCAAAAGTTCTTTTGTATGCCCAAGGCTTAAACTATCACAGAAAGCTGCTAAGTAAATCCAATATTATTCTCTCTGTGGAAACAGTAATCCTGGTGAGGAACACCAAAACTTAATGCTTTTTTTTTTTTTTTTCAGTAAGTCCCTGTTTTTCACTGGGTCTGTTTCTCCTCTGTAACCAGCAGTCACCACACCAGATGGATGTAATGCTCCCTCCCATCTCCTCATGCTAGGAGTTTTTGGTGGTGGTGGTTGAATGGTTTGGTTTGCTTTGCTCTGATCTTGGAAACCCCAGGACTGTGAACAGGCTGAAAGAGCCCTCTAGCACTAAGCTCCACCCACCCACACTGTAGTTCCACTTGCAGCCATGTACTTCAGAGGCACCTAAGTATGATCCTCTGTCCCTGTACTCATTTTGACATCTCCAGAGGGCCAGAATCTTTCTCAAGCAATCCCCAGAGGGAGTAGTGGCTCAGGCCACATGTGTTTGCCTGTGCAGCCTGCCTGTTTCTGAGGGCTGTGATCCAACATGATAACATGATGCCTACACACAAAATTTTTCTATCCAATCACTGAGTACACACACACACACACACACACACACACACACACACACACGTGCGTTTGTGCTCACCAAACATATCACAAACCATTCATGGAGAAGGCCACCCTGTCTCACCTCTCTCTTAGCCAGATGCCCTGAGCTTAGCTTCAGGACATTTATAAGCAGTGTGATTGAAATTCTGCGGTGGATTATCTTGACAAAAATACTTAGAATTGTTAGAACAATAAAATGTGGTAAGGAATTTTCCATAATATGATCATATGATCTAATCACACTGGTGCTCCAGCACAGATGGGGCCGGCTGGTGTTCTTGGTGGGAAAAGCTAACTTAGGGCCAGCCTTCTGCTGGCAGGACACTCACAGTGTGTGTGCAGAGGCTTATGGAGATGATGGCTCAAGGAGCTCCTGAGGTGCCGTTACAGTCTATTGTCCCCACAATCTATGTATTTAGCAGACCCTGAACTCCCTGCAACAGCCACCCAGAGCAACGCCACTGGTGCCGTTCTGGCCGATCAAGTCAATGATGTTTCATACTAAAGTGGCAAAATAAAGATTTGCTCAATAAACTGAAACAGTTCATGGGTAAATATGTATTCATATGGACACACATGTGAGCCTGTGTGTGCGATAAAAACAGCTTTTCTGTGCCTGGGCCATAAATGTTAACCTACATTGGTAATACTTACAGAGTCTTTTTAATTACACCTAGTGTGATGAAACATAATAGGCAATGGTTGACACTGGGATGTGATGCCCCATCCCCTTTAGCACTGGAAGGTTCTATCTATCCTATTTGGTCTTGCTTCAGGTAAAGATAGTCACCTCAGCCAAGATCAAGCCCTCTTTTCAGGGTAGCATTTATCCAAGAACTGACTGGCACAAGTATACAAAACTAATTCCTTTCTCTAAATTTGGAACAATTCTCAATAACTATGAGGCCCTGAGCTTTGAAGTGTAACCATTTCCTCACCAAGTCCTGCTTTGTCCCTGTCCCTTCTACAGATCACAGTTTTGAAGAGTACACGCACACACACACACACACACACACACACACACATCTGCCACTGATATCCAGCTAATGGCCTGTTTCCCAGGGAACCCAGGTGTGTGCTATGTTCTATAAAGAATGTTCAAGAAAAAGAGAGAGGTGTGCTTAATAAATGATAAGGTTTGTGACAGCAATGCTGTGAAACTTATCTAAAACTGTGACATAGGATCCAATGAGCAAATTACCAAGTCTAATTTACAGGTCTTTATATTTAAAGAAAACTGGGCCAGTAATTCAAAGCTGGGCAATTTTGAAGCCAGATAGCAAACTAGATTTGTTCCAATCCGCTTCCTAGTCTTACTGCACATCATATACTTAGCCTTTTTGACTTAGGAAAAAAAGTGAAAAGACATGGTGGTGTCCCTATGGAAGGAAAGTCACAACTTTAGGATGGAGATCTGAATCATAAGAGAGCTGAAGCTGCCTCGCTCCAGGGCTCTGGAGCGGTGCTCTTCATGCATGCCTCTAACTGCAACTAACCTAACTAGCCTGGCAAGTACAGAAATCCCCAAATAAGGCCCATATGATGATACCAATCACCTCTAACCAGTGCTCTCCTTCAGGAGGTCTGGGATTCTCTAAGAAGAGCCAATGAACATGCATAGTATTCCTAAAGAGCATGGACGTTTCCAGTGTCTCAAATTCAACCAGGAAACCACAGCTTCCTGGTTCTGTAGAAACCCTTTGCAGCTTACCTTTAGGGACTCAGTTCTCTTCAGCATGTTTTATTTTAGGTTATAATTATCAGTGCATTCAAAGTCAACCTCATTTCTCATTTTTTCTCTCATGCCTTCCATGGAAAAAATAAAGTTTTTTGGTTTTGTTTTTGTTTTTTTTAGCTTCAGATTTCTTCCTCACAAATAAATTTTAAAAAAGTCAATAGGAAATAAAAATTAATCTTTGGAATTTGAAGTATATAGTGTCCACATTTGGACCTTTAGCTCCAACTGACTATAGTACATAACTACATTTGGTATTAATTTGTTTATTTATTATTCCATAAGTATGTGTATGTGCCCAAGTTTATACATGATGTGGCACATCCTGTAGGATGTTACTGGCAGTCATAGTACAGGGGAAGCTGAGGGAAAAATCACATTAGGCTTTAGGAAGACAGCTCTCTCTAGAACTAAGCTTCCTAGCCCATATGAGGCTTGGTGTATCTCATCCTATTACCAGCTCCATCCTACCCTGCACCCCAGATGTCTCTAGTATGGCCCAAGAGTACAGTAAAGTCAAGAGGTTGGGAATGAGCTATACTTGTGCACATCTTGCAATGGGTCTCATTGTTTCTTTAACAGAAAAGTCCTAACTTTATGTAACTGTGAATATGACCTTGTTTTGAAATAGAGTATTTATAGATGCCATCAAGTTAGAGTAAGGTCATAATGGATTAGATTGGTTAGGTAGCAGACACACAGACAGAAGACAAGTAGAAAAGACAGGAGGAAATTGGGATAAAGCAGATGTAGGCCAGGGTTCTTGCACAATTAGAAGCCAGGAGGAGGAGGGGATGGCATTTCTTGAGATCTGCAGAGATCATAGCTTGTAACATCTTGCCTGGGGACTGGCCTTCAGAGTCACAGCTCAAGTCCCTGTTTCTCAGTGCAAGCCAGAGTGTAGTCATTTATGAAAGGATTACACCTGTGCATGCAGATGGTCTTGTCACACACAGAAACACAAATAGCACCACACACTTCCAACTTCTTCAAGAGCTAATAGAAAAATCCTGTGGGGGAACTAGAGAAACCACAAGTTTTTATCTTATTGTGCAAACCCTGCCACTGTGTCCTCACTACAGTTAGCAAGAGCTGAAACAAAGGGGAGACTCCTGGCCTGAGCCCAACAGCCTGCAGTTTTAGTTCACTGAATAAACACATGTAAGTGTTTTGTAACATTTACTTAACAACTATTACTATTGTCTATCACAGTACTCATCTGTCTCTCTATAGTAGTCCCAGACTTAAAAATAAATAAATAAATAAATATTTTCTCACAGTTTAGTGCTGGGCAAATATTTGTGTATAAAAGGAATGAATAAGTTGTCCTGCCAGCACCCTCCTCCCAGGCACCCAAGTCCACTCTTCCTCAGGAGGCCAAATGGTTTTTCCGTATGCCAGTCAGATCTCATTCACACGCTGGACAGATCCAGTGTGAGATGAAATGAAGAGGCTTCCTAGAGTCTGCCAAGTCGAAGGTGCTTTGCCCAGGCTATGACTGCTACAGCATGTCCTCCGCTATTCCCTCTCTTATGATATATGGCCACATTGGTCTGTACATGCATAGCTCTACCTGTCTGGAATGCCTTCCATCCTATTCTTCCTGTGGCCACAGCATTGCTTCATTCAGGTCTCTATTCTGAGTCATATCCCCAGACAGTCCTTACTGCCACTTCTAAAATAACCACCCTAAGCTGGCTTCTTCCCTTGATTCCCAGCCGTGGACTGACCCAGCCTTGTATGCTCACTCATCTCTTCATGGCCTCTGCCCTTACTAGTGTGTACTCCACTTAGTTCAGGCATTTGCTCCCTGGATAAAAGATTTGCTGAATCAAAATAATGAAAATCAAATGTAGTTTGAAATGTGCTTGTTTTTTTGTTTTTTGTTTTTTTTGTTTTTTTTTTGATAGGAAGCGTAGCATTAAATTTGATGGTAAGCAACAAATCACTTACCATTACTGTGAGGTTATGCATGTATCCTTTCAAATATTCTTTTACTCTATTCTCACTCTACATAGTTTACAATCTTAATAAGAAATCTCCAAAATATTGCAGAATGAGACAGAGAGACACCAACAGGCAAGTAGGTTGAGTACCTGGGAGGCAACCTAAGTACCAACCCCCAGTAACATGAAATATGACACAGGGTAGACTTGAATAAATTACAGGGTGGCCCTCAACCTGGAAGCCCATATCACTGGTAACAGGTTAGGACCTGGAAGCCTAAAGAAAGAGAGATGTGTGTGAGTGGATGGGCCTGCCATGCAGTGGAGAGGGACGCAGGGTTACCTTCTCATTCCTGCAGTTGCTCAGACCCATGTTGTTCATGGAGGACAGTTTCCCATCAACCCCATGTGGCTGCTGTTGCTGCTCCCGCTGGATCTGTTCTCGCATCTTCCGAGCCTCCTGAATGGCTTTCATCACTGTGTCCTGGTCTCCAAACAGGGCCGGAGAGTTGAGACTGGACAGGATATCTGCATACACAGGGTGCGTTATTAGAGGCATGTGGGGACAGTCTCTCAAGTGCTGGCTATGATCCACTCCCCAGAGGAACACTGTATTCTCTGAACAAGGAAGGGACACATTTGATATTAAGAAAACTACAACACTATTTAGCATAGAAAGCCAAGTCAAGCAAGCTATACTGGTTCTGGGTGCAGTTAGACCGTGGAGGACACCCCAGCACCCCAGGCTGGTAGGTTGCCTACTATCTCTCACAGGTTCTAATCTTGTATGTACAGGGGGAAGTATTTGCTGCTTCTGCCTATAGTATCAATGCTCCTACATTGCATTTCTAGCTCTACTGGGAGGAAGTAACCACTTTGCATCTGTCTATACTTTGTGTATAATCTTTCCTGACTTGTGCGGGAGGTACAAGTTGGGGGGATAGGCAGAGAGGCAGCTGGGATTTCTGTCCAGATACTCTGATGTATTTGGTGTGTTATGTGTGGGAGCAGTTTGAGGCTTAACAGGATGAGATCTGTGAGGGCACTACTGTGACATCTGTATGTGTGTGTTTATGTGTCCACTGCAGGAACAAGGGGGTTTTCCATTCTCCAGAGCTGGCTGGTTAATGAAGCATTCTTCTTATCATGCTGCCTCGGTTATTTACCAAGAGAATGACAACCCTGCCCCATCTTCAGCTTGGACACCCACTGCTCCCAGCACTCTTCCCCCACCCCCAATCCTGACATACAGTGATATAGTGAAGCAGTATGTGTGGCAATGGCTTTCATATGAGCACAAATCCTCAAATCAAGTAAGAATAAACATTTTCTTCCATTATATTCCATGTAACCCAGAGGGGAAAAAAGAAAGAGAAACTAATTTTCCTCTATGCCTTGCATTTTACTCAGCTTAAATGAATACTTTGGACCAGCTTTTCCATTTTTAGACAAAGGAGGGCAATTATTTGATTACTGATAGATTTCAGCTGCTGTTGTATATTTGAACATGATCTACTTGTGTTGGGTCCTTTGTATTTCATCACACATGTGTGTGAGGTATATCTCACACAGACAAATAGAGAAGCCAGACTACAATCAAGCTCATGCCACACACCTCGTATATACAACACATGTGCATATCCATGTGAGTTGTGAAGTTCCAGAGACTGTCTATGAAAATGTTTTTAAAAGTCAGTTACTTCATACGATATTAAATTGTTTTCTTTTATTTTGAAGATTTTTCTAAGAAAAGGCCACTTGGTGCAGTATTGTATGCACAGCCCGTTGTCTGTAGCAGATGCTTTTACTCTAGCCCACCTGGCTCTAACCTAAGCAGCCTGGTCTGCTGCTGACAGGAGCAGGGCCTATGACATGGCAGCTCTTTCCCTTGTCCCTTTGGATGAGCAGCCCAGGGAACAAGTGCTCTCCAAACAAGATGTGGAAGTGGACTGCATAAGGGCCACTTCAAGAGGCGGGCTATTTTCCTTATGTTGGCTCTCTGTGCTCTCATCTCCCTACTTCCAAAATGCCAGGGAAAGAAACAGTTCACAGTAATGCTCCAGGTGTGCATCACTTCTCTCTTCTCACTGAGCACCCCTGACAGGGGGTGAAAAGCTGTGGCTCTGATGAGATGAACGTGACTGGAAATCAGAACAGTCTATTGTCCACATCCTATCCTAATTTCCCCAGTGTCGGTGAGGACACTTCATCTCACACTCCGACCCAGTTGAGCACACCTCTAACTGAGCTTCCTGAGAGCAGCAGGTTCTAGGTAAGCATCCTGGGTATCAGTCATGGCTCTGCTCATTCACAGCACAGGTCTGGCACTCAATCATTCTACCAGTAAGAACGGAACTGTCTACCTTGTAAAGTCAAGGGAAATTAAATAAAACAGCAAGACTAGATATGAAATTGTAATGGTTCTATCCACACATTACCATATCCAATTACATTAAGCAGTAGGCTCCATGATTCAATAATGCAAGGAAGGCAACATGGTAAAGACATGGTGGGTCTAATCCCTAACCCCTTTGAATCTCACTGTCATTATTTGGGAAGCAAGAGACAAGAACAGTCCAGTCCTTTAATGCTTTTGGTTTGTTCCTGCTGACAAATGCTTTCTTGCCAATTGCTTTATTCTCCCCAAGACCATGAATGTGTTGGGATCCACTTATCATAGTCTTTCAAAATAGAGAGCTTTGATGTCCTGGATATTGCAAGACTCTTGTCATGTGGGCTATTCTTTTCTGGCCTCACAGTAGCCCATGAACTATACAATACTATTCCCTATTCAGGGTTTAGGAAATACTAAAGTCCAGAGTTACAACACTCAACAGTGAAGGTTTTGCGTTCAGGCATGTCCCACTGCAAAATCTATGCATTTGCCCTACACTTCTCAAACAGGGGTGTGAAGATCCCTAGAGAGTCTTAAAAATGCACATCAGAAAGCAAGAAGGAAAAGGTATATTGTGACATGGCTTCCTGAATGAAGCCAGTTCTTGATGCTCTTACAGAATTACTTTAGGACAAAATCTCGACAAAATTCAGACACCTTTAAAGTGTCTGATGGTCAGGATCCATTATCATCTTTAAAAAATGGATCCTAGCAGGATTTGAGACATTTTTCAAAAGTTATAGTCACCTAAGATAATAAGGTGAATTCTGTTTCAGTGGAGTGTCACTATCCTTCCCAAAGAACACACAGGACCCAAGGGCAAGACATCACTGGCCCATTTTGTTTCTTTGCTAGGTCACAGGTCTATTCCTGAGGTGGACTTTCCCATTTACCTAAAGAGGATCCTCTCCCCAGACTCCCTCCAATGGGGCTGGGGATGCTGCTCTTGTTTGGCAAGTTGATGGGGCTGGTTTTGCTGGCTGGGAAGAGGCTCTGGGTAGGAGATGTTGGGGACTTCACAGGCTCTGCTGTCTTAGGCCTCGATGAGAGATTCAGCGGCTGGGCTGTTGTTTCATCCTACAAGAGTTTAACATAAATAATTATTTTAAAAAAGACAAATGAAGCACATTATCACTTAGTAAGCCACAGTTATTTTACACCTCAGAGACAATGCCACGTTCTCCTACAACAATAACAAAAGAAGCTAATTATCTACCTCCTTGAAGATTCATCGGAAGGAACCTCATTAATTTCCCTGTGTTATGCTTCTATTTACATTAACTGTGTAGTTGGATCATTCTTTTTGCCAAATTAAAATCTGAATTAGCTCACATTACAGCTTAATTTCCTAATGTGTTTTCAGGGATCTAAATTAACCTAGGGCATTTACAAAGAATTATTTAAAATTTCAGTAGCTCTGTAGTGCTTTTGTGTTAGTCTCTCAGAAAAGTTCCTGTGACTATAAATAGTCCCTGCAGCTAATTTTTTAATATATATTTTAAATCAAACAATTGCAAGTACTTTAGAACAGAAACATGGAGAGTCTTCTTCTGCTATCCAGGGCCCCTGCCCTCAGAGTCCCATGCCACACCACAGGCTTCTATGTGGCTTTCTGGGTGTGGGTGCTCTTGTGGTTTATATTCTGGTCCCTATTCATGTTTAAAATTAATTTTTGTGAAGAACAAGCATACATTATAATTATGTTTTACATGCTATGCTATATGCAATTTATTTTTCATGTTTAAAGTGATGTCTTGTTACAATTTTTGCTACATATATTTATGGAATGTCTATTTTAAGACCATATCCTTCCACACTGAGCCCAGTATTTCCATCTCTGGCTTGGAGCGCTAGGGTAGCCAGTGACTTGAAAGTTAAGCAACTTGTTTTCATTTTGTCTCATTTATCCTACCATCAAAGAGTTGTGGACAATATTTCTATCATTTCAGAAACATAGATGTAAGTATGTGATTTAAAGGTTCAGTGTTAAGATCTGCATTATTGCATTCTGAAGCAAAATCATCAGCAAATGTCAAATCCTGTTTTGCCGCTGGGAGGGCACAGAGAACTTGCTTTCGATGACATTATTGAAAATTTACAGTGGAGTCTGGTAACAGAACATTCTCTCCCATGGTAAACATGTGACCTCACTGAGGCTTTATTTCTCCATCTATAAAAAGATGGCCTTATACAACGGGATGTCAATCAACAGACATGCCAAAAAACAACACTGGGGGGAGGAAGGATGAGAGGAAGACTGGGAGCATGTGCAGAAGCGACCATGATCCAAGCACTACACTAGGCACCTAAAGACATTAGCTTACTCAGCCACTGATGCTACTAGGAGGATGGGCTCTACTACTCAAAATTTACAAATGGGGAGATAAAAATCAAAATAATACAAATCGCCCTCCCAAGCCCATCTAGGGAGAAAGAATTTGAATCTAATTTGCTAGACTATGAATTTCCACCTCCCTTTCTACCAAATGACCAGGGAAAAAATCATTTTATATTGATGTAGTGATGTTCTATGTTTCGGTTTTTGTTATTATTGTTGTTATTTGTTTTGGCTTGTTGTGTATTAATAGGAAACAAGTGTCCTGACCCATCTGTGTTGCAATGCATTTTATATTTAGAATAGGACATGTTCTGAGGTAACAAGATCACATCCACTATGAATGTCAAAATTATCTGATGTACTAAACTAAATTGCTTCTTTTTTGCCCTTAATTCAAAGGCTATTTAAACTAGTCATTTCCTTCACTTATATTGGAGTCATAACACTTTATATGCTAAGTATTTGGCTCATGTTCTTCATGATTCTTTCATTTGGCCTTGGCTGAACTTCTAAAACATCTGAGTTTAGAGTTTTTGTCAAGTTAAAGAAATTTTCAGCCATTATTTCTTCAAACATAAATCCAAGTCTTTCCTCTAGTTGTGTGTGTTAGACAGACCATTTGACACCGTCCCAGGACTGAAGGTCTTTCCTGTGTTTCACTTTGCATAGTTTGTTTTGTGTCTTTACTTTCACAGGTGTCTAAATTGCCACGAATCCCATCCACTTACTGTTCATCTAAAGTGCTGCACTTATCACATGTAGGCAACTAATTAGGTTTTCTGTGTCTTGTTTTATTATATTAATGTTTTTCTTCAATTTTCTTGAAAATACAGAACTTAAAACATCTTTTTGAGTTTTAATATTCTCTAACTTATTATTTATAACTCATAATAATGTCAAGATGCTCTCCATTGTAATCATGATAGAGGGGCAGGATCATGTTTACTTTTGAGGTAAAGGACCCACCCTCAGGAAACAGGACATGACTTTTAGACCACACTCTACAGACATTGATGCTGAGAGCCTGGGACAGCAATTTCTTAAATAAGTGAATTCTAGACTGGTCCACTTTACTATCCAGAAGGAGTTTTAGGGAAATGGTACAGGGAGCTCGGCGGCCTCCCTGAGTAGAGAGTTCAGGTTTACGAATGTTAATGTAGACAGAGCTTTTGAGGTAGGATACCAACCAACAAGGATGGTTCTGCAGAGAAAGAGAATGCCGATGAGCTGCAAAATATCAGACTGCATGTTTAGTTAATTGAATACTGATCAGCAAATGTATATGAGAAGGCAACTTGAGGTGCAGGCAAAATGACTGCATGTTCACAAAGGACTGGGAATGGCTTACTTTCCCATTAACAAAGGGCAAAGGTCCTCTGATGTACATACAGGACATTAAGTAAAGCCTCCAGGAAGTTGCTGCCTCATCATGGGGCTAAACAATCCTAAGATTCTTGGTTGTTTTGAACCTGCCTAAGGAATATGAAAAGTATATCCATAGAGGATCTAGGGGTTCTGTGTCTCAGAATAGACTTCAGATAGTTAAAGAGATGCAAACACTTTAACAGCCAATACTGTGAAATCCAAAATGTGCAGCATCTATTTAAAAACTATGGGTTTACACAGAAACATGACAATATAAATAAAGAAGAGAAAAATCCAACAGATTTTAAACAAACCTCAGAATGACACATATGGTAGAGCTAGCAGATAAGATAGGGGGTGGAAACTATAGGAGGCTAGGATGCAGGCAAAGCCACTCTCCTAAAACCTGGGAAAAAATGACAATGGCCATGTCATCAGTCTAGAATATATAATCTGAGAAAACATTTACATTCACTCTATGTAATGGTCATGAAATTTTGTGACATTTTGATAGATTACATGCCCCCCCACCCAGTCTAAGACAACACAAGAAGTTATACAGGGGACACGCTGTAGGGACTAAGAGTGCCTTGCCAGCTTGACAGGCTTGTGCTGCACATAGAGCTGATAGGTGATACTCACAGCCCACCTCATTGATTCTGGATGTTTCTCGTTATGAAACTATGCAAAGAGACATTTCCATCCCCACATTGAAACTGCTCTCATCTCCTTCATGTCTACCATGAGCATCTTCACTAACACCACCATTTATAGAATTCTCATTACATGCTAGAGAACATATGGCTACATGTAAGGCCCAGATTACAGTGACAGACTTTTAATAGATGAAAACCCTGTGTGTATTTGTTACCTCCAGCACACATTGCCCTGCCATATTTCACTATGCAATGCACGATCGTTCTCTACAGAGGGGAAACAACTGTAGTGAGGACCCTGATGAATCTGGGTGATCAAATCTCCTCAGCAGACTGAGCTTACTCTCAGAAGTTCTTCAGTAATAGGAACATTCAATTGAAATGCTCATTTTATGTCTTGGTTTATATATTTCTGCTCACATAAATAATATATGATCTAAGAAGTATAAGAAATGGGACCTTTGTTGCTAACATAAAATACAGTCAAGTCAAACCTTACAGAACTCTTATGCCTAAGAATTTACATGTGGTCAAGTGAGTAATAAAATCTGTTGGCCCACAAAGTTGGAATGGTAAAAGCAGATAGAAACTTGAATTTAGCCAGGGAACATTTACTCATCTAGTAAAGGCTTGGTTTGGTACAGTTCCAGATGGCCAACTTAAATTACAAAATGACTTTTTCATGTTAAAACATTTAATATCCAAATAGCCCAAGTTGCTGGTGTTTCACATACTCTTTCTCTGACAACTATAAAGAGACTTAGTCTTTGGGTGGAGCTGCTGTGCTATGATTTGCATTCACAAATAAACTTTTGGAACATAAAATAATCTATTTCCACAAACTTATAATTCCTGTGTTAATGGTTATAGCTCAAGATTTCTAACAATTAAGTGTAATTTCACTCTGTTTCTCTAGAGAATCATTGAGTTAATTTTTGGGAATAGAGCACAGACAGGCTGTCTTGAGGATGACCATGCTTTTGGTCTTCAATACTTGGAGTATATTATTTCTGCAGACTTTCTGAAATCTCAACATTACCATCTGAAAATTCACCAAAATAAAGCAGCTTTGGTGGCTGGGTTTTGTTGGCGAACAGCTTTAATCCCAGCACTTGGGAGGCAGAGGCAGGAGGATCTCTGTGAGTTCCAGGCCAGCCTGGTCTGCAAAGGGAGTTCCAGAACAGGCACCGAAAACAATACAGAGAAACCCTGTCTCAAACAAACAAACAAACAAACAAAAAGACCAAAACCCAGCTTTGGTGACTGTAGAGCACCCAGTAGTGATGTCGGTTGCTCTCAACTACTTGCTATGTGAAGATTCAATAATTGCCCAAACTTCCCACATGCAGGACCTCTGCCAAATTACAACCACACATCCATACTTAGTGCACCTCTCTAAGTTCATAGTCAATTACATACAACAACTGCTCCTCCATTCTGTGTGGATGTAATAATCCAATATAGGAAGCAGATACAGTCCCCACCCCCAACCAACTTGTACTATTTACAGACGAGATGCAACATAGATTTGAAGTACTTGATCATTTCCCTTGTCACCAAGTACCCCCCAGGTGACCAGTTTGAAGACATTGAAAATCAGCTAAGAAAACCATGTACCATAACTCCACCCATAACTGTGAAAGCCCTTTTATCCTCTCATAATGACATGGTACCAAAAGCATCGTCAGCCTTTGACACCTTATTCCTCAGCACCTCTTTGTAGCCTGTTCTGAAGGACAGAGCTACACCAAACTATGCCAAGTCCAGCATTAGATTCCCATTGATTCTCCTTTAACACCAAGGATTCTAGGTCCTACTCTGACACTGTGAGTGGGCTCCCCACCTGTTTAAGGAATGTGGAGAGAAGCATTGCAAGTCTGTGACAAAGACTGACAATAAAAGCAAGCCATTCCTGCCAGTGAATATTAAAAAATGAAATCCAGACTCTGAAGGGAGAGATTTTTTGAGGAGTGAGTTTTTGGAGTTAGGGAAGGATCTCACAATATAGCACAATTGTTATCGAAAGGGAAGCACCTGTTTCTCAATGATCAATCATGATGTTCCCCATAAAGAGGGCTGCTTATTCCCAGCATAGCCTGCTTCACTACCTTTCTTACAAAGCTATTTTCCAAGCCATTTCCACAATCCCGCAAAGCAAGTACCTTAACTTGAGTTACAGGGCTGGTCCCTCTCTTTTCATTTTTTATCCCAGTAGGTGAGACCGCCCCTGCTGTGTTTGGTGGCTGTGGAGTTGATGGCATCTTTGCTCCAGGTGACACCTGCATGCTGGCCAGCTGAGCGGCATAGAGCTGCTGCAAAACAGAGAAGGCGAACGTCGTCTCGTTAAATGTAGCTGAAACAGGTTCAAGAAAAACTTACCGTATCGTCAGATAACATCTCTCACAACCCTGAAATTTTTCTCTCACTTTTTTTAAAGAGGAAAATAAGAAAAAAATCAAGTAACTCAGAAAGGAAGAGGACTAAAACGAGAAACAAGGTACTGTAGCTGTTCCAGCAATGACACCAAGCGCTGGGACAAGACTGGTGTCTCTAGAACTCAGTTCCTTCAATAGTACTAAAAGGAGTTTGGCAAAACAGTCTCTGAGGTTCCTTCCAAGAGCCTAAAATCACTATACAGTGTTCTTCAATGTCAGGTGTGCCCACTTGTGGACTAAGAAACTGACTTGAACTTCCCTGAGGGGACTTGGTCTTACCAACTTCTTTGGGGATGCAGATGCTGGAAGACCAGTGCTGCCCCGGAACCCCTAAAAGTCTGCCAGCAGTCACTTCCCTCTCAGGTCTTATCTCAAGGCACCATATAACAACTTTTTGACAGGGTATAACCAGATTGGTAACCATAGAAACAGAAAGTCAAGCTTCTTTTCCTGGCCTTAGTGCTGAATGAGGGAATCTAGTGTCCCCTCTATGGCCAGAACAGCTCTGTCTCCTGGAGGCTCCTTTGGCTTGGGACACTAGGCTTATCTCCCTATAGGGATGGCTGTCTCCTAGCCTTTTCTAAGTATTTGCTATCTTGCTATCTTATTCATTCTTGGGGCTCCCCCTTACAAGTGCTCCTCTCCCTGAGACAAGGTGAACAATCAATCTGATACTATTCATCTTTAAGTGATCAACATTAAGTGCATTGATTTAAGTGAATGCAGACTCAAGAATGGAATATGGGCCAATCTCACTTTTAGATAATTTTAACTTTTATCAAAATAATGTTATACATGGTTTCATAATTCAATGTTACTTTAAGGCTTTTAAATAAAAAGAAAATCACAACAACATGGCCACCTTAAATAAGGTAAAGCATCGATAGCCATCTCTGATGTCCTTGGCCTCCTGACACTGCCCTCCCCACCTCACTCCTACTCTGTGGAGACCATCCCTTTTCAACTTGGTTGACTGTTCTCACTTACTGCCTCATTTGCATGTGTTTATATGCTCGTCTGTCCTTAGCTGCTGATCTCACACAGGATGAAAGCTTTGCTTTCTTACATCACCAGCCACATGTGCCTTCATGTGTCCTCTAATTGCTTTATGTTAACATCACAGACTTGAAGTTAGTCAGACTGTTTCATTCTACTTTGGCACTATTTATAGCTGAGCTATGCAAAGAGTTATATTTTATTCTCTCTCCTCCCCCACCCCCACCCTCTGATACTAAGATTGAATCTAGGTCCTCAGGCTTGCTAGGTAAGTACCACTTAACAATGTCCCAGACTTACTTCAATCTTATTTTGAGGCAGGATATCACTAAGTTGTCCAGGCTAGACTTGAACTCATTCTGAAAGCCAGACATACCCTGGACTTCTGATTTGCCTATCTCAGCCTCCCAAGTAGTTGGGATTACATGGATTAGACACAGCAGTAGCTTTTCTCTTTAGCTTTGTTGTTGTTGTTGTTGTTGTTAGATTCATTGTTTGTATTATTTATTAATGTATCTTTCATTTCTTTCTTTCTGGTTTTTGTAACTATCACTGGGTAATTCCCAGACTCTCCAAAAGACCAAGAAAATGCAACACAATACAGTTGAATATATGGCTAATCTCTGTATCTATTTCCCCCCTTAGAAATACCCTCTAGAATTCTCTACACTTTTCCTCCAGTTTTTCATTAGGCTTGTGTTACATAGAATTCCCCTTTGTCTCTCCTATGTTGGATTCCATTTTCTGTCTGTCACAGCTTCCTGTCTCTTAGTTAATTAATTCTCTTACGTTTGGTAGCACTTACCCTTCAGAAAATACTTGAGAAAAGTATCTGTGAGTTAGTTTTTTTAGGAACTAATGATTCAGGAAATTATTATTATTATTATTATTATCATCATCATCATCATCATCATCATCATCATCATCATCTTCCCTTGATAGAGAATTCTAAGTTAAAAATAATTCCCAGAATTCCAAAGACAATAACTTATTGTCCTTTTACTCTAATTGCCAATGAAGCCTGATGTCATATATTGTTTCTCTTACACTGGGCCATTTTCTTAGGGAGATACTCTCAAATTCTTGTGTTGGTTTGAAGATTCAGTTGAATGGCATTATTGTGTCTGGTGTTCCAAGATAAACTTATGAATACAGCTTCTTAAGAGATCAAACTTTGAGTCTATTGCTAGGCTGTGTGCTGCTAATGAATGGTGGGGAGGAATTGGTAGCCATTACCATGCATGAGACAGAGAGGCCATCTTTTATTGATTTCTACCAGCCATCTTGTCAACCATTCTCCTCCTATCACTGCCTTCCATGGAATATCACCGTTTTCTTTTCTGGTGACAGTTACAACTCAGCTATTCCTTTCTTATGTCCCACCCCCAAACTTTTGCCTGCTTCTTTCTACTTGTACTCAAATGTTGCTACTTGTAATCCTAACTGTTCCTGTATTAGGACCTGTGTGAAACTGTTAATAAACAAATGTGTTAATTGCCTTGGTTAACCCACAGCCAGATATCCCAGTCTTAAGACTGCTGGTGCTTAAAAAAGCCATTCTAATATTTTTCTCTTCCTCTTAGAACCAAGATTAAGCCATTACCTTGATGGTCAGATTTCTATCATAATAGAAAGCTTCCTAGTTCATCAACTACAGAGAAATAGCTCAAACTTAGCCATATTAGTAGAGGAGAAAAAACAGGTGGTTTGTATATAATTTCCAGCATTACTATCATTCAGATGGACAAATAAAAAAAATTACAGTAATCAAAAGCAGACCTTTCAGCACATGTAATTAAATGAAAGCTTAATAAAGAATAATTTGCAAGAGCCAGATGTGCCTATGTCATGATTGTTGCTTTCTTTGGAACAATTTTTCTAATTTAACAAGCCTCTAAAGAAATTAAAGTTTCTTAATTCTGTATGCAATGACTCAGTGGCAAGAAAAATTCACAAGTAAGAGTCAAACAGCTATAATTTAGGCAAAGGAAAGGCTGTGGTTTCATTTCTTTTTTACTTTGATGGATCTTTTTCTTTTAAATTCATCAAGGCAGAGCATGCAGCTCAGTTAGTAGAGTGCTTGCCTAGCAAGGACAAAGCCTGGGGTTCCTTCCTAACACTGCTTGAATCAGGCATATTAGCAAATGTTTGCAATCCCAGGACTTGGGAAGTAGAGACAGAAGGAACAGGACACCTTCTGCTTGGACTAAACCAGCAAAGCAAAGTTTAATGGTGAATGATAGAGGTAGCTACAAATAAAAAGTGCATTGGCTAATTTGGGGAGCTGTAAAAAATAACTGAATATTAAAGAGCCACAAAGTCTTAGAGATATGATTCCTTACAAATAATCTATTCCTCATCAAAGAAAGTTCATTTGGTTTTACTCAATCTTGAATCTTTTAGGGAGCTTCAACTAAAAATGCAAGGAAAACACCTTTAGAAATAAGTCTATATTTTAAATATCTGACTCAATTCAATGATCCTTCAGATTTACTGGACAACATAGTTAAATTTTAGAAACAAGGTAGTGTTAATTGCTTTCTCTAAAGTTCTAATAATAGTTTCATATCCACAACCAATAAGTTCTACACAGAAGAGACAAGACTCCATAAACTCATCCTGCTCAGAACTGGTCCTTATGAGTTATGATTCCTGGGATATTGGAGGCAAGAAGAAGAGCCACTGAGTGAAGTGGACTGTGAGATGCAATATAAGACTCATTACAATAAGCTTTGAGATAAAACTCAGAAAATGGAATACAACAAAAAGAAAGCAGGCACTTTTGAAAATCAATTTATCACATTCTACCTAATGAAGCATATTCATTTAGCTATAATTATCATCTTCAAATTGGAGATTTTAGATTTGATTTAGATTATAAGAATGCCATTCTGCCGGGCGTTGGTGGCACATGCCTTTAATCCCAGCAGTCGGGAGGCAGAGGCAGGTGGATCTCTGTGAGTTCAAGGCCAGCCTGGTCTCCAGAGCGAGTGCCAGGATAGGCTCCAAAGCTACACAGAGAAACCCTGTCTCAAAAAACCAAAAAAAAAAAAAAAAAATGCCATTCATCAAATATGCATACTTTACAAAGCAATTTCATAGTTAACTTTCTAAACTACTGTCAGCTGAATGCATTCTATGTGCAAGACTCTGTACCAGAATTGGAGAATCCAAAGTCTTGGGCCAACATTCAGCCTTGGAAGTGTGAAATGGAGACTCCAAACTTTGGCTGGCAACATTCCTGTGGTATCCATCACTTTTTGGTGATGGGCATGCATCTTTTGCTTCCTATACTTGCTAATAGTAAGCTTCCTGAAAATATGAGTGATCTAAAATTTGTTGAATGCCTGGCACTAATGACAGCAGCTTAGGAGTAACAAGTACCTGAGAAGTATTTCTGAATTAACATACTACATATGTCACTGCACAATAGAAGAGGTTCTGCAAATGAAACAGAGCCGCACTCAGCTATATTTATTATGTTATGAGAAATTTCACTAAGTTGGGTTCTAAAAAAAAAATAAAACAAAAGGAATATACACTCAGTCTTTGCTAAGTTACATTGTTTCACATGAGTAGTTGGGGAGGAGAGGGAAAAGAAGGAAAATGAAGTATAAGTCACATAAGTACAAACAGGTCTCAGAGAGACCCATTACTTTATATACTAACCTAAAAATTAGCTAAAGCATAAGTTTTAAAAATTATTTTGTTTAACCAAAAAATGGATCTTTTAAAGTTGTTTGATAAAAACAACAAAAATAAATAGATAAGGTGATTTGGTAACACATTTGCTAGGTGTTGAATAACTACTAGCTTCACTGATGTGTGCTAAAGTTTGTCACACAAATAGCAGTTGAAGCACAACTGAGAAATAGTGTCAG